GGGCTTTAGGGCTTTAGGGTTTCGGGAGTGTGTCTGGCGGAAAGTTCAAGGTTTAGACAGTTTAGAGTGTCAGGGTTTCAGGCTTATGGTGGTCGAGAATGTCGGGTTTAAGGGTCTATGCCGGTAGAGCTGAATGCTTTGGGATAGATGGGGCTCCGTGTCTAGGGTTTAGGATTTATGGTCCAGGCTCTGCGAGTGAAGGGTTGAGGGCGTCGGCTTTTCTGATTTGCAAAAAAAGCTTTGAGGGCTCTACCTCGTAGAATAAGTAGCTGGCAAAGGCATTTCTAGGGATACTGTTCCTATGTTTTTGAGGATCCTATATTTAGGGTGGTTCCAACAACTCGTCGGTGTTCAGCCGCTCAGCGTGGCCTGAAGCCCAGTCAGCTCCGGTGCCACAACCTGCCCAGTGCTATCTAGGGAACCCTAAACCCTAAAGCTACCCCTATGACTCGGAGGTTTAGGGCTTAAGTGCCCATATACACATGCTGAGGTCAAAGTTTACCCCTATAACTCTAGGGTTTAGGGTTGAAGTGCCCCTGAAAACATGCTGAGGTCATATGGCTGGCCTTATATGTCCCTTATGGGCCCTTTTCAGAGAGGTGAGGCCACCTGCCCCAGGAAATGAATTGCACCGGAGTTGTCGCTCAGCACCTTGGTTTAGGGTTTAGGGTTTNNCCCTAAACCCTAAACCCATACAAGCAACGGTTCAGCGCTTAGCGGGCAACGCTACACTGTTTGATATTGAACCCAGTTTTTTAGAGGGAGACCCCAAGACACAATGATGGACGACATAATATAGGGGCCTTCATACTTATAGAACAGGCTTTTGGTGGTATATTACACTATAATTATAATAAGGAACCCACCAAAACCTATTCCAATTATTAATTAAGGCCCCTATAAACCCTAAACCCTGCATTAAGGCCCGAGGCGCAAAGAGAAAGGGCCGGTCCACCGTCATTGGCACTGGGGGTTTTGGAATCGATTTGGATCGCATCTCGGCGCCGGTTGCCGCAACTGCAAGGGTACCTTCCTCATTGACTTCCAGCGTTGCCTTGTGCATGGCCCAAAACTCTTAGGGTTTAGGGTTTAGGGTTTTGGGTTTAGGGTCCTAAACCTCTGCAGCCCTAAAGCCCGAAAGCCGTGAAGCCCTAAACCCCTAAAAGCCTCAAAGCCCCCAAAAGACCTAAAGCTTAAACCCCCCGAAGGCTTAACCCTGAAGCCCTAAAACCCCAGACCCTAAAGCCCTCACCCCCAAAACGAAAATTAACCCCAAAACCCCAAAGCCTAGCAGGAACCCTTGTAGGAACCTCTGAGGTTCCCTTTAAAAGGGATCCCTAAACCCCTAAACCCCTTTACCCCCCTAATGTAGGGGCCTTGATAATCAGAATAGGGCTTTGGGCTTCTTTATGGTATAGGACTAGTACGGAACCTAAGGAATAATCTTGGTAATTACTTGGGCTTCTATCTCCCTAAACCCCAAATGCCAAACCCTAAACCCTAAACCCTAAATCCCCTAAATAACCCCTAAACCCTATACTAAGCCTTGTGCATGACCTCGCCGAGATGGACGCGGGGATCCTCGGAGATTTTCAGAAAGCCGCCCTGGGGCTCGAAAGCCTCCTTGAGGCCAAGCTCTCGAAGAACCTAGGTTTAGGGTTTAGGGTTTAGGTTTAGGTTTAGGGTTTAGGTTTAGGGTTTAGGGTTTAGGGTTTAGGGTTTAGGGTTTAGGGTAGGGGTGCCAAGCAGCACCCCTGAGGGTTCAGGGCGTAGGGCTTTTTGTGTGTGTGTGTGTGCATTGTTGTGTGGTTTCGGGTCTAGGGCTTGTTGTTGTTTGTGGCTTAGGGTTTAGGATTTAGGATTCAAAAATCGGATTCTTGCCTCTCCACTCTTCAGTCAAATTCAGAAGAAAACTGAGGAGCCGCCAAGTCTAAGACAACCGGAGATCAGAAGAAAAAAAACATGATGTAGACCAGATACTGAGCTCCTCATTAAAACTACCCTCACACAAAGTAATACGAAATTAACTATAACTACAATAACAACAATTATTATGATTATGATTATTCTTAATCGTAATAAGAATAGTGGTAATAAGAACATTAGTATGAGTAGTAACCCTAACACCATAAACCCTAAACCCTAAACCCTAAACCCTAAAACCTAAACCCTAAACCCTAAACCCTAAACCCTAAACCCTTAACACCCTAAACCCTAAACCTTAAACCATTAACACCATAAACCCCAAATCCTAAAAAGGAGATCCGAGGCACAGCCTTTATCGACCCCCCAGCGCTGAGGCGAAAGCGCGGCAGCCGCAACTCCACCTCCGCGCGCCGCTCGCGCAGGCGGACGTCCAGGGACTCCCAGACCTCCCAGAGAGCCCAACTGACCCCCTTAAGTAAGGAATATAGCTTTAAGGGTTCCCTAAAGGGATCTATAAGGGATCCATAAGGGAATGAAGGATTATACCTTAAATGATAAAACTTAAGGCCCCTATAATTTAAGGTCCATTCATTATTAAGGGGTATTGGGCTCTTTGACCTCTTCCCGGGAAGTTGCCGGGGTTAGGGGCTTTAGGGGCTCAGGGGTTTAGGCGTTTAGGGCCTTCAGCGTTTAGGGTTTAGGGGTTTGGGGGTTAGGGGTTTAGGGGTTTAAACCCTAAGCCCTAAACCCTAAGCCCTAAACTCTAAACCGTTTAGGAACTCCCAGACCTCTTCCAGGGAAGTTGCCACATCGGACAAGGCCTGTCTGCCCTGGCCTTTCGGAAGAATGATGGTTGCCCATGTCTTCCTGGGCTTTGAAGTTACCAGGGAGGAAAAAGATATAGACTGTTGTTTCATAATGGTTTCTTTAAGAAACAGGTCCCCCCAAAAAGTGTTAAAGTATGGTACTCCAAAGCCCAGCTTCTCGTCGCTGTAAGGAAGTCGCACAGCCTGGAAGCTCTCATGATCCAGGAAGAGCATGCTCTTGTCATGCTTGTACCTGGGCTTTGAAGTGACCAGGGGAGAAAAGGGTATAAACTTTATTGCATCATGGTCCCTTTAAGGACCAGGTCTCCCAACAAAAATATTTAAGTATGGCCCTAACGCTCTTTTGGGCGTTGGGC